CAAATTCAGTATGGAAAACAGCAGATTCAGACGGAATTCCCTTACTCCGAAGCCCTGGAAACGGACTCAAAGACTGCTCACGTAATTTACGCAAAAGGTTTTGAAGGAAGGAAGGTGCCTATCGATTGGAAAAAAGGTTGGCTAGCTCGTCAAGCTGCCAAACAAGGGCGACTTACGCCTTATTGAGCAAAACCTGGCTTGGAATAATGCTGCTGTCTACGCCAAGTAAAATACTAAGTCGAATCATCCTGGAGAAAATGAAGGGCTTACTGGATACAGAACTCCATCAGACTGGAACAAGCTGGATTCAGGAAAGGCAAATCATGTGCTGATCAAATTGAGTCTGTAAATATCGTCATCGCGAAACAAAGTATAGAATGGCAGTCAAGTCTCTACCTCACCTTCATCGACTTAGAAAAAGCCTTCAGCAGAGGGTGTGGCCTAGAGGTAATTTGAAACTACTTGAAAACTGTGGTGTGCAGTGCACCAAATCCGAACCAACCTCATTCAATAGCTGGTTATATGGCAGTACCACGTGTCAGGTGATCCACAACTGGAAAGTTAGTGACGTGTTCGAAGTGCATACAGGAGTAAGATAAGGATGGTTGGCTGCTTATTATCACACATGATTATATTCCTTATTGTGTTTGACTGGATTATGCATCAGACTGTGTGATAGGAGGGAATAGACAGGCATACGTTGGAACACCGACAAGAAGACTCTAGATAATCTGGACTTCACGGGTGGATGATATATGTCCAATGTCACACAACCTGGAAGACTTATAGGCGAAAACCAACAAACTGGCAGAAGAGTGCAGCAGTGAAGGCAGGACTTTAAGGCGACATAGAGAAGACGGAGGAGATGAAGATAACCAACCAACATCAGCAACAACAAGCAGCACCAATCACCATTGACGGGAGAGTTTTAACAGGGGCTGCCTCCTTCACTTATCTAGGAAGCATCGTTTCAACTGTAGGCGGGACGGATGAAGATGTCAAAGGTATCCAGAATTGAAAAGACAAGATACGCCTTCAACAATCTATAAAAAGTTTGAAAATCTTCTTCACTGATTCAGCACAAAGAACAAGATTCTGATTTTCAACACAATTGTTAAGTCAGTCAGTTCTTCTCTGTGGGTCAGAAATTTGACCAGCCTTTCATGAAAAGTATTTCCAGTAAGTTACGGATTTTTATCAACAGCTGTGAGCTTCGATGACTGGCTCCGTTCTGAAGGTCAAATGGCCAGCAAGGACGAATCAGCAATAACAACCTCTGGCAACGAAGAAACTAGGGGCCAATCTCTCAACAAATATGTTGGAGGAAATAAAGATTGATAGGGCATACACTACTGAGGAGGTCTTTCACTGAAATCGCCCGGCAGGATCCTGGGTGGAATCCCAATAAGAAGTACCTGTTGGGTCGTCAGTGAGAGGGTGACATGGAGGAGACCGTGCGAAGAGGTGATGTTAAATTATATGTGATCCTGGATTCAGCTAGAGAGGACGGCAGGAAATGGAACAAAGTGGAGATGTGTTGATGAGGCTCTATGTTCCACTCGGAACCCAAGGGAATAATAATAATCAATTCGACTCTACTGGTAAGAGAACAAATTCCCTTTAAATACTAATTCATTTCCTTTTTTAAACGCTTCTGAATAGAATCTACTCAAATGACGATGATATGAGTAGTTTCTATCAATAACATGAAGAATTTCACAACATTTATGCCTCAGATAGCAAAGAAATCTCAAAATGTAATCAATGAAGTATGATTGCAGCCAAATCAATATAGACGTAGGTGTTTAGGTACACACATACATGGATGGGATAAGATGCATATGGGATTATTGGTTGAGTTAACTGCGGTTATTTTCAAATCCATAGGTCGCATTCTGATCACAAAGTAGGTTTCAACACTTTTGCTCGAAACTGACTACTACTACTGACTGTGTATTCAGTGAACGTATCGTGTTTGTGTCAGTTTAATAAACTGTAGTCAAATTCTCCATATTCATCATGTTTGAATTCCTGAGGATAAGAAAATGAAGTAGATGGTATGAGTCGAATATTGTGGACATACGATTCCCTTATATTTGCTATCTGTATGAAGTATATTTTATTCTTTTACGTTTTCAGTCGAACATAGAGTTTCAAGCTACAGGCTTGAAGTTTCTGTAGCAGTGGTGATTATTTTTACAGGATGGGGTTGCTAGCCGCCTCATGCCTAACCTTCCCTCTTTATCAGTCTTACTACTGGCTTAGTATAATCAGCATCAATATCTAGGCAATTATAGAGATTCAGCAGCAATCATTGAACACAACTTCCTCGCTTTCAGGTGACTGTTCGATTTTTGAAACCGATTGCTCAGAATGGATGACCGGATGAATAAATACCTAAAAGATCTTCGTAATTAATTATTTTCATCCCAGTTCATGAATACCTGTTTCATCGTCACGTAAGGAAGATGAATTCCAGGTTTTGTGATATTTATTCCAATGTCGACTTCTTTTTATCGAGTCTGTTGATATTCACCAAGGAAACAGATGAGTTGGATTTTCTAAAAGAATGTTGACATTCATTGAAAATCAATAACCATAAATTATAAAGGAAATGCAAATCTGAGAATGCCTTCATCATCACAATAGTATATGAACTTACTCTAACATGAGGCAACGCAGTTTAGCTAATCGTGGTATAAATTCGTCAATACTGAAGTCACCTTGTGACCAGAGACGTTCAGCTACAACTGCACCTTCAGGCCTATTGAGAATGAATGAATGAAATAATTAATTAAATAGAAAGACTGCGTGTAGTTCAGGGAACAGAGTGTAACGATTTTGTTAATAATTCCTTTTTCCATTGACTGAGTAAATATCAATTATATGACGAATGTGGATGAAAAGTGTGCAGGTCAACTTCAGCTGCTGTTGCTTATGGTGCTTAGCATTTATGTGTTAATTTTATCGAAGTCATGAAGATGAAAGATTCGTATTGGTCAACAGCTTTCAGTCACGTTATACTTTCATTAAACTCTCGTATATACTAAACGGATACTGAAGAATGCAGAATATACTATCCTTGTTGATTAGAATTTGAAGCTGTTTGATATCGACTCCATTTGTTATGTGAGCATGACCTCATGACACTTCTTGTCAGTGGCCTCTCAAGTCGGTCGAATAAACTAGAATTCACTAAAATTCAAGAGATTTGCAGTAATCGGATAACCTCGGTTGAGTGAGTTTCATATTACGTTCCCAGTGAAGTATACAGTTTCCAGCCAAAGACTTGAAGTTTCTGTAGGAGTGGTGATTATCTTTACAGGATGGGGTTGCTAGCCGCCTCATGCTCAACCTTCCCTCTTTACCATTCTTACTACTGGCTTATTGAGGTAAAGGAGTGTTTCGGTGGCCGGGGGTCGAACCCCGGACCACCTTTCGTGGTCGGCGAGCAGTCTACCACTGTGCCACTGACACACGAGTTTCATATGACTTTACAGAATATCGATAGTAACAACATGAATTCTAGGGTGCTCAGGAATGTTTCCAAACTACTAATTTCGTACAATCAGCATTATATAAAATGAATTAGAAAATATATGCATTCATCATAAAACGTATACATGAATGCTGAATTTTCCTGTATCTGGAAATGTGTACAGTACACAACTCACCATGAACGCGTGAAGAGAATCGTGTCATCAACAAAATTGCCAACGACAAAAGCTTCACCACCAATAACCAATTTCTTTTCTTTCTCTGATCCTTGGATAGTCAAGGAAATGTAGAGGATTAGTTTGTGGTCACATATTTTGTGAGGTCAGTATGAAACAAGCCTATTTCTCATAAATCGAAATCAATTGAATGAGGTATATGTTTGAATAAATATGTTGTGAATTGCAGAACGATTCCACACAACTGTTTGTTATGGTAGGAATAAGTAACTGACATTAGCTATTAGCAAATAAATGATCTAGTCAGCTTGTAACGACAGAAGACAAGCGCCAGGCCACAGATCATTTATTGAGAAAGTCAAGAGATATTGCAAGATTTTCATGTATCTTATTATTCGTTATTGTTAGTAGAGAAGCAACGTCTCCTGATTGGTTGTTTTCCTGCTGAAGGTTATTCTGTTGGCGTTTCATAGACAGTCTGGTCATATATCAGCGAATTGTATCTACCCACGCTAAGTCTGCTTTGATTGGTTGTTGAGTTCCTCAAGGTTAGGCTTTGTCCTTGTTTTTTCTCATGACCCTGATTTAGGACGTAAACATTGATGTCAATTGTTGTCTACAATTTTGTCTTGCAGACAGCTCTCACCACGAACTGATCAACTTTACAATTATAATGTGATTGATGTGTAGTGTGAAATGTACCAAGGATCGCAAAAGATCGCAAATTGTGAAGTAACTTGTTTCAGTAGCCATACAATTTACTGCATATCAGTAGTAAAAACGTACAGGATGACGGCCATACAGGCAGATGTACTCACTTATGAACAACATTCTACTCGAGATCATGATAATTAGGGTGCATAGATTGTCAATATCATCAGTGATTTGTCATAGTTTCACTGATGAGTAGACAATATCAGTGTACTTCTAAGAAGTTTGAGTCTTTATTGAATTTCTCAATCGTTCACAGGCTGTTCACTAGCCGGCCCCAAACCACGAAAAGAGATAAGGTTGGACGTCAGTCAGATTAGCGATTCTTGACAGCAAACAACAACGTCGATTCTGAAGCTACAGAGCACAGAGGGAAGTAATGCTTCTCAGTTTGACGATGAATGACACTAGCGAGTGAAAGCCTATGTGTCGATGTGCATTCTTGTTTTTCGCAATCTTTTTTAACTAGAGCAGATCAGGATGCAGCTAAGATAGTGGGGAAGTTAACTGCAGTCCACCTTTATTAACAGCCGTAATGTGATACCAAGATGAACTGAGAAGTCACAGAGAATACTCAAAATAGAAACATGATTCACATGGCTGATTGGATCTTACCTGAGAAGTCTCTTGGATCACACATGTAGTATGGGTACCAATGCTCCACATAATTATTGGCAAAGATACGAAAACATGAGGAAAGTATAACTCGATAGCCGGCTGATGTTATGTTCTTGACACGCTCTTGCCTTATCCAATCCTTCCATACTTGGAACACAGTATTTTTCTCCTTCGGCTAAATGAGAAAATTTCGATAATTGATTAGCATAAAAATAAATTTTGAATTTAATTTGATTGGTTCATCTTGTAAGATGTGATGATAACGTTATTTCAATTCAAGACAATGTAGTGGAGATAGAGCAGATCTGCACCCTTCTCTCTTTTACTTACTTACACATATATTTTAAAAAGCAGAGATATTTAATGTTTTACTCAGGAGTGAATGACACTCAGTGCTTTCAACATCTTCCGAGTCCCAATAAAATGGAAAAGATCTTTTGTATTCTTTGAACCATTAATAACCTTAGTTCTGTGCAAAGTAAAGACGATATAAGCAGCCTATTCGATACTTCGTCTAGCAAAAGGGGACGTATGCCTCTGTGATTCTCATTGCTCTCATCCTGTAGATGTTAACAATAAAGGAACTAAGAGTAATCGAATAGGCACAGATCAAACAATCTTTAGAGTGTTTGTGTGAAGAGACTGTTTTTACGAACTCCAGGAGACTCAGTCCTCTAGCAAATCTTTTGAGTTCTAGTGAGAAGTTGTGACCAGTGCAGTCCATGCAGTCAAGTGTGAGGATGGATTTCGCACCGATGACATTGGTCGGTAGTCGCGCTAAATCATGAGTTGGTAGAAGTTAGAATTCATGGACTTGTCACTGAATGAAGTCCCAGTGGCTTAACTCCAGTGGAATTCAAATAAATGATTGTCATCTAAAAAAAGCATCGGTGATTTTCTTCAGCAACAGTCATTATGTTTCAGAAGGATCATCATAGCATGAGAGACGTGAAATTCTGAGAAGAATGACCTAATATCTTTAACCTATTACTTGAAGTTCTAGCAACAACTATGAAACGCATTATAATTTAGACCATTCTTATTACAAATTATCATAATATTATTATTATTGATGTTTCCTATATCTCATAGAGGAACGTAGGGATTCAGCCAAACGTTTCCACTGACCTCGGTTTTCTGCCAATGTTTTCACCTGGATCCACGTCTGCCCACATGCTTTCATCTCCTCTTCACAACACCTCCTCCATGTCACCGTCATACTGACGATCAACTCGTTGCTTCCAATTCGGGATTCACTCAAACAATGGCCTGCCGTGTGATGTCACTTGATGGTTTGTTTTCTCAGAGTATAGCCAATCCACCTCCATTTCTCCCTGAATATATTTTGAACAATCGGTTCCTGCTGGGTTGGTTCGCTCCCAGATATCCATGTTGCTGATCTCTTCTGGCTAGCCATCTGATCTTGAGTAGTATTGAGCGAAGACAGCTAGCTGTTGATAAAGGTGTGTAGCTTGTTAGAAGTGTCCTTCATGACGCACTGGCCAAATCTCTCATCCATATAGTAAGTAACACTGACTTCACATTGAAGTTGAAAATCCGAATCTTATTCTCATGTTCTTGCTGAGTACGGCTGTTGACCTCCAAACAAACTTGAAAGTAATGAAAACTTGCCTAGCCTTCCTGATACTTAAAGCCTTGATATCTTCATCAGTTCCTCGTGACTGTAGTTGAAACGATGCTTCCCAGGTGAGTGAGTAGTTGAAGGAGGTTGCTTCTTTCAGATTTCTCCCATTTATGCTGATTGTCGTCTGTTGTTGTTGCTGCTGCTGTTGGCCACGAACACTCATAACCCAATTCTGTCTGCTTTATGTTCACCTGAATGCCTATACTCTCTGTCTGCATCTTCTATCACCAACTTATTGATTTTCAATTACATATCTTCTAGTTTGTGGGAAATCAGGCATATATCAACAGCGAAGTCCAGATCCTCCAAGTGTTTTGTGTGTCCATTTTATGCCTGGTACCTCGATGGCCGTCCCGCTGTCTGTTGTACTATCCAGTCTACCACAATCAAGGTAATCATTGGAGATGGTAGGCATCCAACCAGTCAGCCAGATTGTCTTACTCCCGTCTTCACTTCGAAGGATTCTGTGAGTTTCCGGTTGCGGATTACTTGGCATGCAGCATTGTCGTATCACAAATTACTTAAGAATAATGATGAACAAACCACAGAGACTAAGTATTCAAGAGGGACGCGAATGTGTTCATCATAAACCACAAAGAGATAATATTCTAAAAAAATAAAATGATCCACCTACACGATAGCCATTCTCGAATGCGTCCTCCCAAACAACTGGTGTGATAAGACCCCTTTCCTGTTGAACAGATTGAATACCTGTGATAAGTTCATCAAAATAGTATGATTCGAGTTTTCCAAAGTCGTCACCGAAACCCTTTGTCGCCATGAATTTCACAATCTTAGGATTTGATTGCCTGATTAAACGAAAACGGTTTCAATTATCTTAGAAAATATAAATCACATAATGTTCCCAGGCAAAAGGTATTCAGATTTATGAGTGATAGGTTGCAAGCTGTAAATAAGTTTCCCAAAGGTAGATAAATGTTCCCACAACTACATTTTGCTTTTCTTACCATGAATTGCTTAATTCCAGGGAAGTGAATGGAGTGGAGATAGCTTTTGAAAATACAACGAACAAATTTCGTCTTCTCTACACTTTCACTATATGTGAAAGTGTCATCGATATATGAGTGATATAATTCAAATTGGTCGACTACTACGCTTAGATGTGTGTGTCGTCTATTTTAGACATCACAAAGGATAAAATCAAGCAGACTGATAAAAATACAGTGAGGATTGATACTGCACTAACAGGTATCATGTGGTGTCTGAAAGGTATTCTGCTAAACAACTTTGAAGGTTGAGAATATACTCACATTTCGCAATTCATATTAAGAGCAATCAAGAGGTGAGATTTTCCAGTAATTCATAAGAATGAACATGAACTTCCAGTGTATTGGACTATATCTAGTAATGTCATAAACCTAGACCTGACTAAGGAATATTAAGACATTGAGACTGAACACCACCAGGCGTTTTCGATCATTACCGAGCGTCGGTGGATGCCATTTAGGTGGCAATTAGAGGAGACTGTATGGATTCACCGATTTCTAAGAAACTGATAATCTCTGATCGGACGCTAATTTGTTTTTCCTTCACGTTCCCCAGTGGAACATAGGGCTTCAAGCTTGTGGCTTGAAGTTTCTGTAGCAGTGTTTATTTTACAGGGTGGGGTTGCTAGCCTCATGCACAAACTTTCCTCTTCACCAGCCTTATTTATGGCTTAGCGAGGTAAAGGAGTGAGTTGACCGGCGATCGCACCCTGGACCATGTGCATGGTCGGCGAGCGTCCTAACCGCTATGTATATTCCTTCCTGAATTCTGTCGGTCAGGTTTGCAATTTGGCCACCATTCAATGTAGCTCGCCATCACGATGCATACTGATATGATGACACTTGATGGCTAAAGGCAGTCGGCCACAGGAAGCTTTGGACCAAGGTTTCGAGCTAGTTGGCACTCACAAGTCAGTAATCTTGAAGAAACTCATGTCTCTCCTGAGATTCAAACCAGCGCCACCCACTGCTACCTACAGTCAGAGACGTTACCATTGAGCCATTCGGGCTCACGATTGACCTCCTGTAAGACTGTATTGGATATTTTTGTATGGACACTAATCAGTAACTAGTGTTATGTGTGTGTCTAGTCCTATCTTTGATGCAGACTGAATTCTATCAGTCAAGTTTGCAATGTGATCAGCATTCCAAGATGTGTCTCCTGCTCATTCACTGAACCATTGCACGACAGTACGTATTTCAATACTCAATAAAACCATCAACATCTGAATGGTTCCTTCACGGCACACCCATGAACTTATGACATGATCAACATTCATTCATGAATAGACGATCAGAAAACTACTCACCAACATTCAAACGATACATCATCACCACCCAAGTGAATAAATCTCTCTGGAAATCTTGAAGTGGTTTCATTGAAAAACGATTTCAGAAATTCCATTGTGGTCGTATTTGTAGGATCAAATGGACCAGTTCTTCCATTTGGTGAACCTTCAGTATAACACTGTGTTCGTAATCCAGGATGACCCTTCTCCCATGACCTTGTATGACCTGAAATCAACAATGCAGAGAATGAGTCAGTTCTACCTCACATGCAAATTTTCTGTCTGACTGAGAATTATTGGCAAAGGCCAGAGGATGAGTCAAACACTTCTACTCAACACATGTAATTCCAAATTACATAAGTGAGAAATGTTTAAATTGAGGGATCTTCAGAGATGGAATAATTATTGCATAATAAAGCATTAAACCCCTTGATTTGAATGAATGAATAAAAGATTGCCTCATTTAGAGATTAATGAAGAATCAAGAGATCGCTAATAACATGGATCACTGAATATGAGGATAGAATTTCAAAGATGGTAGATGACATGACACAACACAGAATGGCATGTTGTTCACTTACTCGGAGTATCGAATTCCACCACCACACGTATTCCACGTAAACGAGCATACTTCAATAACCGCTCAACAATCACTTTTCCATAGACTAACTCTACTGGATGATAAGCACCCTATGTAGAGTGAATAATGATGAGGTGAAACGCAACAAAAGAAAATACCATTTTCGAGAGTTGAGGATCTGTGGATGATTCGTACGGGAATGAACTATCATCTGTGATGTGCCAATGAAATACATTCATTTTAACTAAGGCCATAGCATCCTGAATGATTGTGAAGTTAAATGAGAGAGAGAGACAATATGGAAGGCAGACTTACAAGAAAATTCTTCAGCACATCAACACTGATGAAATGAGCAGCAGTGTTAACTACAAATCCTCTGTGAGTGAACTGGGGTGAATCTTCGATTGTAGATTCGTTTATTACTAACTAGATAAAATAGGTTGACAATACATGAATAATCATGAGGTCATTGACTCACAGTCCCGAATGCATTTCTGTGCGCCAATTGTAAGACAGTCTGTAGTGCATGTAATGTTCCCCATACTTCAGGAGATTCAATTTCAATCTTGGTATTCGATATGCTGATTTTGTCTTCATTAGTGAGTTAGTTATGTGTGAAAGTTGTGAACCTACATGATTCTTTCATCTTCTCGCTTGGCCACAAATCACCACCTTGTTCATTACATCCATCAGTGATGGAAATCGTCAGTTTGTTAATACTGCAGGAAGTTTCTTTATTATGCAGGTGTGGTGATGTTTTCACCTTAAGACGTTCGCTGAAATTTTTCACCGCATCGTTAAGTATAAAACAATATTCATAACTTTGATCAATTTCTAAATCTTCTTTCAGGCGACAGGTATTTCCATCCTTCGTGTATTTAGTCGGTTTCGGGACTAATGAATTCACAGTGGAATAAGAAAATGCGAGTAATATGAAGCTGAACAAATAGATAATTGACATGATGTTCAGTCTACGCTAGTATGGTGTGAAGATTGTTTTAAAGCGTATTTATATATACGTCTTGTTATGTGTGTTTTCGTGTACATGTCTGCATGCGATCTAGTTGTAGGCTTTGTAAAACGCTCTCGTTATTCTTCTTCATGAAGGTGATATGAATTAGCCAATGAGAATATACTATGCAAAGTGAGACATTCTCAGACACATTTTTGTGAGACTTACCAGTGAGCTCGATAACAGTACGAAATATCAGAATTAAAATCGAACTTAATGAAAGCACATTGAGATTAATATATTATATAGAAATACAGACATCGAGGTACAAAAATTATTGGTTTTCTGAAAGTATAGTTGTAGTCCAGTGATAATTGTTATTATTATTATTATTATGGTTTACTTTAGATCCTAAAGGAATATAGGGCTTAAGCCAAACGTCTCAATTGCGTTCGGTTCTCCTCCAACGTTTTCACCTGGTTCCATGTGTGCCACATGCTTTCATCTCCTCTTCACATGGCCTCCTCCATGTCATCCTCGCACTGATGTCCCACTTATTGCTGCCCATTCGTCTTCCACTCAAGTGATGGCCTGGCGTGTGATGTCGCTCACTTGATGATTCATTTTCCCAGAGTATCGCCAATCAACCTCCATTTATCCCTGAATATTTGTTGCACAATCGGTTCCTGCTGGATTGGTTCGTTCATTGACAGACATCCCTGTTGCTGATCTCTTCTGGCTGGCCATGTGATCTTGAGTAGTATTGAGCGAAGAGAACTAGCTGTTGGTGAAAGTGTGTAGTTTGTTCGAAGTGGCATTCGTGACGCTCTGGACAAATCTCTGATCCGTATATTAGCACTGACTTCACATTGGAGTTTAAAATCCTCATCTTACTTTCATTTTCATGCTGAGTGTCATGGATATCCACAGAAACTTGTGAGAGCTTGCCTTACTTTCCCGAATATCACTGCTATGGTATCCTCATCAGTTTCGTCCGCCTGTAGCTGAAAGGCGGCTTCCAATTAGGTAGGTTGTTAGTGAGGTGAAGGAGGTTGCTTCTTTCAGATTTCTCCCATTTATGCTGGCTGATTGTTGTCTGTTGTTGTCGCTGTTCCACTGATACAAATTAATAATTTAACTGCTGTGGACCTCAGAAGATGTGCTGATATTTTGTTGTCATCCTCTTACAAACAATTTCAATGCTTCTACTTCCAATAATGTTGTATCCATTTCATGGAAAGATAATAAAATTATCACAGTGTCTAAATCACTTTTGTGGTGTGGATGTTAAATTTAGACCGATTGCAATTACCTCTTCTTTTCTGAAATTAGTGGGGAAATTAATTTTACTCAATTTGAACCTTCCTTGAAAGGTTTTATTGATCCCAAACAATTCGCTTATAAACGGGGCAGATGTGCTTTAGACGCCGTTGAAATCTTACAACAAAATACTGCTTCCTTCTTAGACGAAAGGACTAAATATGACTGATATAACTTCCTTGATTATACTTCTGCTTTTCACTCTGTACCCGGATGGCTTTTGTTAAATAAACTTTCCATGACAAAAACCCATTACCACACTGTTAACAGGTTGCATTCCCATTCACATAAACAGAAAGCTGTCTACTGTTTATAAGGGTGAGTCCATCTCTGTCTTACTCACTGAAGTTGCAGTCCCTCAGTGTGCTGTTCTCTCATCTTTTCCTTTTTCTTTCTTCTTACATGACTTACTTATTTCGGGAGAAATCGACTTCATTGCATACACTGATGATTTGACTGTTCTAAACTGAGTAGCCTTTTGTAGGATATCAGTCAGTGGTAGGAGTTAAATAGTCTTACCTTAAATCCCACAAATTGTCTACCAATGAACTTCACCTTTAGGCATAAACGTGGTCAGCAAGAACTGGACCGTTCAACGGATACACGTAGCGTGGAGAGCACTGAAATAGGAACTCATTCAAGCATAAAATACTTTGGAGTAGTTCTATCTTCCAGCCTTTCTTGGTCATCCCATATCTTGTTGATTTCTAAGAAAATATTCCGTCTAACCTACTACATAAAGAAGTTAAAACAGTCAGGTAGGTATCACTGAATTCCTACTTTAACAGTTTGTTAACTCTTCCATCTTATCTATTGCACTTTACTGCTCCACCTCAGTCTTTGCTGGGCATATTGAGAAGAGTAAAAAAGGTTGTCAGTGTGGTAAGTGGTGTGCCAATAAGTCAGCTTCTTAGTACTGTAGTTGACAGACACCTAAACTCATATGAGAAATGGTCTAAATCCATATTCTCTGACTCTCCACACTCCCCCCATTCTCAACTAGCCCCTCCTTGCATCTCATCAGGTAGAAGACTAGAAGTTATCAGAAACGATTTTGTACTATTATACAAAAATGCTGAAAATTCCACACTGTATCATTACTACTACTGTTTTTGAATAAAAGAAAATCATTATAATCATTATTAAGTTTAAGGATTGTGTTCACGAAGAACAACTGGACTGGACTCACGAGAATATGACTAAGCATTACTGTAATACAGTATGACATACCGACTGTATCACTATATCATAAGACGCTGTCAATGTAACACTAGAAACATCCGATGGCATTCACGTAATTACTTTGATTTAATTTTTCATTCAATTAAGACTCATGAGATTGAAACCATATTATATATGGTAGATGTTCCAGATTATGATGTTTCACTGTCAGTTAGATTCGGCCTTCAAACACCCTCCAGACATTGGTGTTACTTACAATCAACTTATGTCTATAATATTTGAATGTTATTATGATGAATACGCATTATGATGGCAATATTTGAAAACCTAGGAGTACTGGACGGTCAGCTGTTTCGCCTTAGTTTGAATCTCTTCAGCAGTACGCAACCACCCCACTGGGATTCGAAGCCAGTACCTCCTGGTGACAAGACCAGCTTGTAGACCACTAAACAAGTGGGACCCAATCTAATGGTCAGCCCGTGAATTCTAACTTCTGTCAACTCTTGACATAGTGTGACCACTTTGTAATGTCATCATCGATAAGTTACCGCATCATCTTCAACCTGCTGTATCCCACTGGCCACGGCTTCCCACTATAAGCCCAAGTAGCTGTGTGCGTCAGCAGCATAGCGGTTAGGATACTCGCTAACCATGCACATGTTTCGGTGTTTGGTCCGCGGCAGATGGACACCTGATATAAATGATCGGTCTGCTACATTTCTGCCGCCAATATCACATGCTGAAAATTCCATACTTGTACCAAAATACTGTGTGGAATCAAGCTATAATACAATTAGGTAAAAAAAAAATACTCGCGAATTATGCTTTATACTACTATTATTACTAACACCAATAGCACATTTATGTTACTCATAAATGTATTTTTGAATTGAAATTAGATTGATTGATCACTGTTATTATTATTACAATTCTTATGAGAACAACTCATGTGTCGGTTGTTCTGTGTTAGCAGACTCACCAAACATTCATGTGGTCCGGGGTTCGATTCCCGATCGATGCACTCCATAACCTCACTTAGCTGATTGCAAGCCTAGTAAGGAGGAAATGTTGGGTCTGAAGTCACCTCACCTCCACTCGGAATGCAAAGAACCAAAATAAAAACAAAATTAGTTCATCTACAATTATGGATATTACTAATACTTCTAATGACGTTATCTTTACGCTACTATTCTCCGTCAGATTTATACCGTCTTAAACGATGTTATGTTGACCAGAGTATTCACAAGCGTACGGTTTTTGCGTATAAGCTCTAACAACATTTACAAAGATCCCATTTATTTCGTGCATTTCCAGTGAAAAGGTGGGGTTCAGTGGGTCATTACAATTTTACATACTTTCAGTCAACTTCAATTTTTGATTGCACACTAGTCAGTAACTAGAGTAATGTTTGTGTCTAGGCCCATCTTTGATGCAGACTGAATGCTATCAATCAAGTGGCCACATTGCTACCTTGAACTAGACACACATATTGCCCTACTAACTGACTAGTGTGCAGTCAAAAATATCTAATGCAGTCCCGTGGGAGTTCAGTCGCGAGGCTGAATGCTCCAGTGGTAACGTCTCTGACTGCAGTCAGCACTGCGTGACGAGAGTTCGAATCTCAGAAGGGAAATTACTTCATTCGAAGTTGCAGATACCACTTGCTGATGAGTGCCAACTAGGATGAAACCTAAGTGGTCCAAGGGTTCCTGTGGCCTATCGCCTCCAACCATCTAACAGTCAACCTCAATACCCATCATCACTTTGCAAATGGCGAAATAGAACAATGCAGTTTGTTATCATTTCTCAAATTAGACCAGAAATCGTATCACTATTTTATTATAGAGGAGTGAAATGTTCTGAGGTGCTTCCTAGCTGGAGGATTGGAATAATATGTGTACCTAATAGATAGTAAGACGATGGATGCCTTCCATATATGATAGATAAGCATATATGATACCACAGTTACGTCATAGGTGCCCAATTTCGGCGTCATTCCCTTCTTACTATTCTTTCGCAATGTTGGTACGTTTAGCGCAAAGTTCATATATCAATATGCTGTGTCGAATATATTCCATTATTTAAGATTACAAACAATCTCCACTAGCGGAAACTTTAACTGAGGAATCTCAGATAAATTGTCAACCAACTAGATCCAATGAGCCTCTACTTCTCAAGAAACATCTAGAGAAATATCAAACTTTATTTATTTCTTTATCTATTTACACTTTGCTCATTTTACTTCGAGTTACTTCGATAATTATTGCTATTTTATTATTGTTCTCTTGGGTTCTGAGTGGAACATAGGTCTTCAACAATACATCTCCACTTTGTTATATTTTCTGCTCTCCTCTCCAGCTGGCTAGCCACACGATTGCCCATGATTTGTCATCTCCTCCTCCCTACACGATCACCTCGATGTTACCTTCGGATTACTCACTTGTCGCTTCCTATTGGGATTTCACTCAGGCGATGTCATTCAGC